TCCAACCAACCTTCTGGGTTTTGCCAGTTTGCCCAGGCTGGCCTGTAACTTGCCATCCTCTAACATGGCTGGACAAGTAGCTGCAATTATAGGCAAGTTTCACCAAGTCTTGCCAGTGACTGAGGTTTTTGTTCTTGTTTTGAGACAGGGTCCTATGTGTCACAGGCTGGCTTCAGACTTGTCAAATAGCTGAGAATGGCCTTTACTTGTGATCCTTTTGCCTCTCTCACCCCCAGAGCTGTGGTTTTAGGTGTGTACCATGGTTGGTGTATGCAGTGGGGGTTCAAAACCAGGGCCTTGTGCGTGTAAGCCCTCTAACAACTACACTCTTAGCTCCAGGGACTTTTTTTCTTCTTCCTGGTGAAGGGGTCACATTCTGTAGCCCAGGTGACTTGGCATTATTCCAGTTAAGTCTGGCCTTGAGCTCATGACAATCCTCCTACCTCAAGTTTTCAGAGTAATAGATTACAGGAAGGAGCCACTGTCACCATGATGATCTAAGGTAAAAACTGAAAGAGGACCTGGCTGCGGAACGGGCTGGTAGAGTGAGACACTAACACTCCTCCCTTCCTTCTCCCTCTCTGAGACCCGAGACAACTGGAATGTAGGCATCTTGCTGGGACCTGTGGAACTTGTTGCTCCTAACTGAGTCAGCCTGCGTGGACTGAGTGTTCTGTGCCCACATTCTTCCCAGCACGGCACGTGCTCAGACGGCCCCTGTCAGCCTGGTAGTAAAACGGTGACATCTCATTTAAATCGACTATTGGTGAGGTTCAGGATGTCAGTGTGTTTTCTGTTGTCTTTTACTTTCAGGTTTATTTTAGTTTATTTTTCTGAAAGCCTGAATTTTTAGGGCAACTTACTTTTGTAGGAATTCACGTCTGTCTCTCTCTTTCTCTAATACAACCTACATAAGATACATTAAAATTTTTTTTGAGGCCAGATCTTATCATATAGCTCTATTTAACATGGAACTCACAATGTAGACTAGGGTGACCTTGAACTCACATAGATCTGTCTGCCTTTGCCTCCCTAGTGCTAGAATTTTTTAAAAAAAAAATTTTTTTTTGAGGTAAGGTCTGTGTAGTCCAGGCTGGCCTTCAGTCTGTCATTCTTTCCCCTCAGCCTCCCTAAAGCTGGGATTACAGTTGTGTGTTGTCACTCCACATCTGGCTTTAACTATTTTATTATTTTTAATTTTTTGTTTATTTAGTGTGGGAGGTGGGACACATGTGCACCCAAGCATGTAGGCTTTGGAGGGCCACTTGTGGATGTAGGTTATCTCCTTCACCGTGTGGATCCTGAGAAGTGAACTTAGGTTGTCAGGCTTAGCAGGAAGGTGACAGGTGCCCTTACTTACTGAGCCATCTTTTAGGCCCTTATTTTATTTATTTGAGACAAGTTCTCTGTAGACTTGGCTGACCTAAAACTCAGATTCATTTGTCTCTGCCTCGCCAGTGCTGGGGTTGAAGGCGTGCATCTCCACTACACCTGCTTTAAAAGAAAGTGTCATCTTAACGAAGTAGATTATTGGAAATAAGAGCAAACATTTCAGAATAACTTTACATAACCTAGAATAATCAGGGACTGCCTGTTCTCTCTGATGCCTGTATCTAGGCTTGGTGCATTGGTGAATACTAACATTCCCAGAGTGGGTTCAGGAGGGTGAAGAGAGAGGAAGGAGTTCCTGCTCAAGGTCAGTCTGGGCCTCTCAGTGAGACCCCGTTTCAAGGCAAAACCAAACACAAACAAACAAAAAAGGTACATTAATCAACAGTGTTTCACCTTCAAACTGGGATTTGCCCATTGTTTGGGTTGTTGGCAGAGAGCCTGTGGGGAGAGCTAGGCAAGACCCACACACTCTTAACACTGACCTTGTTTGGGTATCTGGGAACTTCCTTTCAGGAAGTGCTTACAGTCCACCCTAGCTTCTCAGTCACACACTCCAGACAACACTCTCCCTCTGAATTGCACCCTCAATCCAGTACGGTATTTCATGTCCCCATGACCTTGACTTTTCACAGCTGAATGATCTGGTTGATTAAGAGTACACCATACTCTTGTTTTTGTTTTGTTTTGTTTTTCCTTAAAGCCCACATTGAAGATCTATACTAAGATACCTGTAGGTGAAATTGTGGGTTGTCTGGGATTTTTTCCTCTAATTGCTGGACTGTGCCTGTTTATGCAGGGACAAAGCTGGCCCTTTCAACTCCCATGTAATGCAGGCTCGTTCAAAGCAAAATAAGATGCACTGTTTATTGCTTGTGGAAGTCCTGCAATGAGTAAGAGCCCAGGTGTAGAGCTCCTGCCTGGTCTGGGCCGCTGGTTCTGCTCCTGCTGTGATCTAAGCAGGCTTTACCTGTCCAGGCCTGCTTCTTCATCAGTAACCTGAGCAGAACAGCACCTGCCTTGTCAAGTTGTAGGGAAGCAGCACAGCATTGCAGAGAGCTCTTTAGAGCCTTGCTAGGCCCAGTGCAAAGGAGGTGGCCAGTGGTTGCTGATGGTGTCTCCTCTGGTGCTCATGACTAGCAGGGTCAGCTGGGATGCTCCTGTGGACCCTCTCCATTCCTGCCTCCTCTCCCTTTACTGTTGGGCTGCAACTTTCTGGAATAGCAGGAAGGGACGGTGGGAATGCTGAGCTCCCACCCAGCCTCTCATCCCCTTGAACTCCTGATCCTCCTGCCTCTGCCTCCTGATGCTGGGGTTACAGGGATATGCCACCATGTCAGGTGCTGGGTGCTCAAAAAGTACATACAGTACAGTCCTTATGGAGCCTCTGTGAATTTTTATTTATTTAGAGACAGGGTCTCACTGTGTAGCCCTGGCTAATCTGGAACTCACTACTTAGATCAGGTTGGTTTGAATTCAAAGAGATCCACCTGCCTCTGCCTCCTGAGTGCTGGGATTTAAGGTGTGTGCCACTATACCTGCTGTAAACTTCCTACAGGATGGCTAAAGGAAAAAAGAAGCATACCCTTAAATTTTTAATTTGAAGCCAGTGGGATGTCTCAGCAGGCAAAGACATTTGCTATGAAGTCAATCTCTGGGCTTCATACGTTGGAAGAAGAGACTGGACTTCTACAAGTTGTCCTCCGTGTACTGTGACATGTGCATCCATACACAGGAAAATAAACAATATAAGAAAAATGTAAAATTTCTGTACATGCTGAAAGCTATATAAATGTACAATTTAATTATTTCTACAATGTAAACACAGTGGAACAAGCAGGAAATAATTAGCTAGTGCTTTCATAATTTTCTGAAGTTTTGCGTTCCCTCAAGTGCCTGGAAAGTCCCTTTCTCTGGGGAGCAGTCACCCTCCTGAAGGTCCTTCTCTGAATCCTTGTGTTCTGTGAATGGGCTTTCTTCTCTCTGAGGTGGTGTGAGTAGGTTCTGGGATCTCCCTGCCACTCTGCCAGCTCACAGAGGACTGAATGTCCTCACAGCCAAATATTGTCAAAGTAGTCTCTTTTCTTTTGCACTTGCAATGGTAGTGGACATGTATGTTCTCTGAAGAATAGGGAAGGTGGTCACTCGGGTCACTTTCTGAAGGACTTAATTCCACCCCTAGAAGGGCAGGAGCCTTCACTCTTCCTGTTTTTTCCTTTGCAGGCCTCGCAATCCTGCAGAAGGTTACTTCTCTGTGGGAGTGTGAGTTTGCCTCAAGCTCCTCTGTCTCACTGGGAAGTGAGAGTGAGCAGACATGCTTTAAATGCTTAGCTGAACTCTGGCACTAAGGGAAATTCCCAGAGGACCAAAAAAGGGAAGAGGGAGTTGAAACCAGCGGATAATAGAAGGGGGTTTAGGAAGAGGGAGCCAGTGCCATTCTGAGATATTGCAGGAGTCTGGAGAGAGAGCTTAGATTAGATCATTGCCAAGGGCTTGTGTTCCAACCTTCAGATCCAGTTGGGAGGGGCCAGAGTCAGCCAGGAAATAAAACCCTCCTGGTGGCAGTGTTCCAATGCATTGTCTCCGGGCCATGTGGATGTGACGTATATTGATTTCCTCAGAGGGTCCCCTTTGACAGCCTCTGATACCTGGGAACTTCAGCTGTAGGGGAGGATCCCATCAACAGCCTCCGATGTCTGGGTAATTCTAGCTCTAAGAGTAAAGAGCCAGCTGTTACAGACAGTCCATGTAGTTCCCAGTAATGTTACATGCTATGAAGAACCCCAGGCACTGGGTATTAGAGGGCTTTGCCGATATCCTGTCCTGGTCCCGGAATGTGTGCTCCTGCTTGAGACTGGGACATGAGGCAGGCAGGGCTGGGCATATTCCAGTGAGCTATGGTTTCAGAGAGCACAGGATTTCCCCATGCCCAGTAGAGTCTGTCCCCACTTAACTCGCTCCGGAGAGTGCTTCTGCATTGGCAACTGTCCTGAAGGCCGGCATACTCTGTATCCAGTCTGAGCTGTGCGCTAGGGAAGTCAGGAAGGAGTTGAGCTCAGCAGTGCATTTGTGTGTGCATCACCATCCCCCCACCCCAAGAATGTTTTTCTTTTACAAATTAAAAAAATTTTTTTTTCAAATAGGATCTCACTCTGTACGCCTAACTGGCTAGGAACTCTGTATAGACTAGGCTGGCCTTGAATTCACAGAGAACCTCTTTACTCTTGAGTACTGGGATTAAAGGTGTGCACCACATGAGGTGACCTCCTTGATCACATTTTGAGTGCCTACCAGATGCCACTGCTCTGTCAGGAAGAATTCAGGGGGATTAAACCATGCTTCAGCTGGCTGTGGAATTCACTTGTCAAGTTGACCCTGACCAATTTGTCCCCAGAGCCCATACAAATGTGCTGAACTGTATGAGTCCACGATTGCCTTCTGCAAAGTTGACATCTGTGGGATTTCTGAAGTCTTTTCCAGCTTTTGAAGGCTAACTGTGACAGCTGTGTCTATCCCTGTACCTGTGGGAACTTTGGCTGTCGTGAAACCGGATACCACAGCTTTTCCAGCATGGACAGACTGACTGATCCGAAATCCTCCAATCTCTCTAGGATGACGTGAGGCATAAAGTCCATCTGAACACCTTTGGCTTCTTCAAGGATGGGTACATGGTGGTCAACGTCAGCAGCCTGTCTGTGAACGAGCCTAAGGGAGCCGTGGGCACAAGCGCGGAGGCGAGTGTTTCCCCATGGAGCAGGGGTTACTCTCTCAGCCTCCTCCCTCCTTCCTAACTGGAGAAAATTCTTCATGGTAGTACCAAAGTGCACATAGGAGTCAGCTGGACTTTTGTATTTCTGTGGTCAGGGAGATGCTGGGGGTGGAACCCAGGGCCTTTCCCGTGCTAGGCAAATGCTTTATCCAACCACACCCCAGCCCTAAGCTGCAAATCTTTTTTTTTTTTAATTTTATTTGCTTATGTATTTTATGTATGTGAGTGCTTTGTCTACATGTACACTTGCATACCCCAAAAGGGAATTGTACTCTATTACAGTTGGTTGTGAGCCCTCGCGTTGCTGCTGGGAGCTGACTCAGGACCTGTGGGAGAGTGCAGCAGCTCATACTCCTAGCCCCTGAGCCTCCTCTCCAGCCCTGTGACTCTTGAGTAAATGTGTGATTAGTGACTTACGTGAGCAGCTGTTTCCATCTTTCACAAGTGCACTAAGAAAAACGAGAAGCCAGGCCTCAGGGTCCATGCTTTCTGTGTGTATTTTTCTTGTTCTTTGAGTTAGAAGGGCATGGACAGCGTGAGGGACTTAGTCTTTTCTCTCTTCATTGCCCTCAGATCGGATTCAGTCTAGATCGGACCAAGAATGATGGCTTTTCTTCTTACCTGGTAAGTTGCTTTTTAAAAAAATTGTGTATATTGATATTTTGCCTGCATGCATGTCTGTGCACCACATCCTTGCCTGGTGCCCTCAGAAGTCAGGAGAGTTAGATCCCCTGGAACTGAGTGACAGGTAATTGTGATCATGTGGATGCTGAGAATCAAACCCAGCACCTCTGTAAGAGCAGTAAGTGCTCTTAACAACTGAGTCATCTTTCTGGCCCTCTCTCTCTCTTGAGGGGACAGTAGAGATTGACAGGATTTCATTCTGTAGCTCAGGGTGGCCTCAAACTTGGAGCAGTCCTCCTGCCTCAGTCTCCCAAGACTGGGATCACAAGCATGAGTCACCACAGTTTGTATCCCAGACTAGCCTGGAACCCACTATATAACTGAGACCGGACTTGAATTCCTGGTATCTTTGTTTCAGTCTCATAGGTGCTAGTATGATTGCAGGTGCCTGGTCAGTTTTAGGTCACAGTCTGACTGGTCACTGGAGTCAGCCCACAGTGCCTGTTCTGGAGGTGGTAGCAGCTGTAGCTTCCAGGCTTCACTGTTGGAGAAGCATGAGCCTCTCATCTGCCTTGTTCTTGCCACAGCAGGTGCCATGATACATGCTTGTTCTTCCTTTGGCAGGATGAAGATGCCAGTTACTGTATTTTAAAAAAGCAGTTTATGTCGTCTGTCACTCTTCTCATCTTAAACATCTCTGGAAGCGTGTAAGTAATCCTGAAGTCCTCTCTGCTCGCCCTCAATACAGTGAGGGCGCTGGTGTAGCCCGCATTCCCACGATACCTGCCACATGCTAGTCCTCCACTGAGTGCTGGAGATGAGTTACATGTTAAGAGACACAGGGCCACCCGGGAGGGAGGCAGACCAAGTACAATTCAAATGATCCCCCCATCCCCAACACACACACCATGGCAGGGAAGGACAGTTTTAGGTCAAGCTTAGGCAGGTAGCCTTCTGGTGAGTCATCTTTTCCAGATGAATGGAAGCAGGAAGGGTATCCATGTCTGTGAGAGGGAGTGGCCTGTGGAATAGCATGTGATCAGCACTGCATCAGCGTCAGGTCTGCTGTCAGGAGCACATTAGAGGAAGCAAGTAAGAGACCGGACAGGATCCAGGCCGCAGCTTCTGCTACTCAGGGTCTGTGTGACTCCAGGGCTCAGGGTCCTTTCCTACCTCACAGTAGTGAGTCTCTTTTGTGAGATTGCCCTTGTGGCAGACCATGGGAGGAGGATGAAGTAAGGGATTTTGTGTTTTTAAGTTAGGTACATTTCTATCTGATTACAGCCTGGGTTTCATGTTTGTGTGTGGGGTTGGGCAGCAGAAGCCGATGTTGGGTATCTTCCTTAACCACTCCCCCCAACCCTCTCTCGTGAGACAGGCTGTCACTACATAGGCCAGGATGGCCTCGAACTCAGAGATCAACTGTCTTTGCCTCCCGAGCACTGGGATTAAAGATGGGAACACCTGTAATTAATTCGTTAATCCTAGCACTTGGGAGGCAGAAGCTGGTGGATCTCTGTGAGTTCAAGAACAGCCTGGTCTATGGAGTGAGTTTCAGGACAGCCAGGGGTGAGGCTACACAGAGAAACCCTGTCTCAAAAAAACAAAAGAAAGAGAAAGGTGTACCCCACCATGCTCTGCTGTCTTCCTTATTTTCTTTATGCCTGAATTCTTGCCTATTTACCTAAACTAGCTGGCTGGCAAACTCCAGGCACCCTCCTGTGGCCACCTTCCCAGCACTGGGGTTGCAGGCTCCCATCACATTTTACACATGCCCTCTGGGGATCACATTCAGGTCCTTGTAATTTGGAGGCAAGTACTTTGCCACCAAGCACCTCCATGGCCCAACCACCCCAACTCGTATGTAACTTTTCACTCACTTTTAAAAGTTTTTGTTTTTGTCCAGGCACATGTGTATATCATGCCTTGCATGTGGGGGTCAGAGAGCAGTTTGACCTACTGTGTAGGCTTCAGGATTTGAATTCAGGTTCAGGCTTTTCCCAGTGAGCTAGCTCTCTGGCCCTGTGTATAATTTCCAAGGGAGCCTTCATAGGGTTTCAAGCTAAAAATCTGTATCCAGAGTGTTTCAGATCTAGCCGATAACTGCCCAGAGTGGGCAAGTTAGAGATGAACAATGTCAGAGGTAGAAAAGACCAGCGAGGAAGCGTCTTTAAAAAGAAGGCACTTGCCACAGAGCTCCTCTGGGCCTCACAGCAGACATCCTCCTGCTCACCTCTGCTATCACCTGTCAGGAGGCTGCAGTTTCCTAGGTTACCATGTATTTGGCATCTGGAGAGAGACCTGACTGAGCCTGGCAGAAGGAATGAGAGCAGGGATGGACTCACTCAGCTGAAGTCCCTAGGTGACAGGAGGCTCAGGAAAGGGCAGGTCAGTGGCAGCTTGCTCACATCAGGGGCTCATGCCTTTGATCTCTGCTCTCCCATCCTGGGTGTTCACTCCCCAGGCATTTACATGGTGGCTCACAACCACTTTTAACTCCAGCTCTAGGGGATTGGAAGCCCTCTTCTGGCTTCTATGGGTTCCTGCATGCACATTGTACACAACCCCCCCCCCCATGCACACAAATACATAATTAATCTTTAAGACAAAAAGAAGGGGAAAGGAAAAAATTTCTTTTAGGCTAGTTATTAATTAATGGTGTCCTCAGCTCCTCACACACTTGGCTTCAGTTGACTGTATTATAGACCCTCTGTCTTCTTCCGTTTCCCTATTCATCAGTTCTGAGCACATCAAGAATCCTTAAGGGAGCCCTGTGACGGTGATGGCGCACATCTTTAATCCCAGCTCTCAAGAGGCAGAGGCGGGCAGATCTCTGTGAGTTTGAGGCCAGTCTGGTCTACAGACTGAGTTCCAGGATAGCCAGGGCTACACAGAGAAGCCCTACTTGAAAAACAAACACACAAAAAGATAGCGCTTGAGCTGGGCCCACAGCAGCCTTTAGTGAGAGCTGGAGTGTTGATCTGAACTCTCCTTTCTGTCTTCCTGAATGTAGAGTCAAGGTCAGATCCCCACCAGAAGCTGGCACCCAGTTACCAAAGATTGTCTTCAGCAAGGATGAGAAAGTCCAGGGTCAGAGCCAGGAGCCTGTCGTCAGCAATGTCCCTGAAGTCAGCAAGGTGCAGAGAATCCAAGGTAAACCCACTTTGTAGAGATTTTGTTTTCATGAACTGCAGCCTGGTCTGTATTGTCTGAGCATTGTGTTCTTGAGGCCACACAGAATTAACTATAACCCAAGAAGGAAGAGAGAAATGAGCTCTCCCCTGTTCCCACTTAACACCTTGGGCATTGTCCCTGATTAGGCTTATTTATTTTCTTGGTCTAGAACATGATGCCTCAAAGCTCCTAGTCATGTGTCCAGCCTGTGCATGCTCATTGGTTTTGCTTTATTCCATCCCACTGTCATAGTTAATGATTTGTCGCTAGCTCGGCCTTTTTCCTAAAGTGAAACATTGTCCCCTCCAGGCTGTGCAGGTATTGGGCTTTTAACTTCTTCTTTCATAGAAATCCTTCTGTATGGGGGGCTAGAGAGAGGACTCAGCAGCTCACCTCCCAGCACACATATCACCTGTAACCCAGTTCCAAGGGCTTCCACAGGTGCTCAGACACACTAACAGACAGACAGATAAATACACACACAAAAATGTCTTTTTTTTTCTTTTGGTTTTTTGAGATAGCATTTCTCTGTGTAAGGTTAAGAGCACTGGCTGCTTTTTCAGTGTTCCTGAGTTCAATTCCCAGCAACCACACAGTGGCTCACAACCATCTGTAATGAAATCTGTGCCCTCTTCGAGTGTGCAGACAAACATGCAGACAGAAGACTAATAAGTAAATAAATCTTTAAAAAGTAATAATAAAAAGAAAGAAAATAAAACACTAAACCAAACAAAAAACAAAAAGCTAACTATGACTGGGGATGTCGCTCAGTTAGCAAAATGCTTGCTTAGCATGCACGAGGCCCTAGATCCCCAGCACTACATGAAAATGAGTATGGTAATGCATACCTGTAAACATAGTACTCTGGGGGTGGAAGAAGAAGAATAAGAAATTCAAGGTCATCCTAAGCTACATACAGAAGTCAAGGCTAGCCTGTGCTAC